CAAGGGAAATGGGCTCCGCGTGCAACGCAACATCCTTCAGGTAAATCAAGGCTTGCCGCAGCTCAGGATCAAGCTTCTTAGAACAGCCGAAACCTCGGGCACGACGGCTCAAGACTTGCAGTGCCAAGCACGATCGGCGGCCAAACAAGAAAGATGAGAACCAGTGCATCCTTCCAGGCAATCGGTCTGCCTCGGTCTGACTGATCGCATCCCGGTCAAGCACATCTTGAAGTGCAGCGGACAGGGTGGCAATCCTTTCTTCAGTGTGTTGGAGCAGAACGGTGCCATCGGTGAATCTTGAGAGGTCGACTAGGATCCCCAGTACTTTGAACTGAGCAGCGAACCCAACTGCGTTCTTGCCCGTGGTTGCATAGACAATGCCAAGAAGCCCGAAGAATCGATGAACAATGCTGCTCACGTCATCGGACAATTTGGCTTTGCACAGACAAGGGTAATCGTCGAAGTAGCATCCCCAAGCAAGCCTCAAAACCTGAGCTCCCAAGAACCAAGTCGCAGCTGCCGTCCTCAAGAATCCTGCGACGGAGCCTGTGGCCCCGAACGGCAGTGAGTTCACACCGAAAAGGCGGACCGATCCCGACTCTGTGTCTTTGGCCCCGATGCGCAATACATTCCGATCTTCTGTGTGCACCGCATACTGCTTGTATGCGGAAGAGAGGTCGTACGTCCTGCCAAGGATCGGGGTGCATCTTGACCTGACGTCTCTCATGGCTTTGACAAGAAAGGCACTCAAGAACTCAAGGCCATGGAGACGGAAGCGTTCCGGGAGACCAGTGGTCTGGTTGTACCCCGAGGCTTTGCAATCGTCAATCACCCGAACCTTGAGCGACTGCAGAATCCCAAACCGTCGTGCGATCAACACACCTCCTATGCCAAAGCATCCCGTGAAGTCTTTGGTTGGACGTCCCGATTGGGAGCCCTCGGAAATGCAGTCGTTTTCGCAGCATGGGGCCTCGAAAATCCATCCCCGTTCGAGCTCAGCTTTGGTCTCTTCCCAAGCTCGAGTTGTAACCTCATCGCAAGGCTGCGCTCGCAGTTTAGCCAAAGTCGAAAGATTTCTAGACCTAGCAGTAGCAAGCTGCCTCTCCATGCTGACCGAAGGAGGTCGGGCCTCGGCCGGATAAACACCTGTCCGGAACATCCAGCCTGACAACCGAAAACCCTCACGCATGTGATCGACAACCTTGTGATCTGGGTATCCATGCTTGCACAGAAGGCGCTTCAAGAGTTCAGTTTTCTTGTCTCGAAGGATGTTTTGCACATGAGTGGGCCATGCCAGCCTCAATCCTTGTTCGTGTGGCTCCAGCTCAACTTGCAATTCTTGCCACTCGTCTAGGAGTTGAGCACTAGACTCGACCGAATCATTACCTAGCAAATTCTCCACGAGACGCTCAATGCTGGGCTCGTCCTGGTCCAAGAAAGACTTGGGGTGCCCCACTTTGACCGCCTCTCGAAGAAAGTCAAGAGGTTCCCGCGGGATGCCAATCCAAGCCACTTCGACCATCTGATTTTCCGCCGAAAGCCGGGGCCTTCGCATGCCACAAACACTAACAACCCCACTTGGCAGATGCTCCTCAAAAGACCCAGGCCCAATGACCCAGTCCCCGGACATCCTATCAAGGGGCCCAGATTCTGACAGCAGTGGACGATGGCAAACACGGACGGCACCCCCCTTGCAGAGTTTGCGTCGGACAATGCGAGCTCCTTTCGGGTACAAAGCAAGGACCTGAGAGCGTTCGGCCTCGAGCTCAGGAGAGAAAGCCCAAGCATCGTAACTCTGAAATTCTGAAACAAGAGGTCGTCGATACTTGCCTTGGCGATCCAAGGCAACTCGCAATTCTGTAGGAGCGGGGCCGAGCAAAGAGGTCGGCGGCGCCCGCGAGGTCGTCTGCTGAAGCAGCAGATCGGAAATGCGATGGCAAAGGAGCCAAGGGTATGCACCTTTCTCCGTAGGATGCAGCATGGCATCCGAGGCATGTTTACGCGAACGGTTGCAAAGCAAGGCAAGAGGCTCGAAGATATCAGAGTTGCAGCTGAAGCGGACTCGACGATTCTGATGCCCTCCATGCATGCACATGTCAAAACCAACGTCCTTGAAAAGACCTGAAGCGAAGAGAGCAGCCGTGGCAGAGTGGGTCCACAAAGCTGATTTCATTGGGCTTTCAATGCACACTCTGAGTCCAAGTTCGACTGCATGCTGAACAACAGCTGCCACTGCCACGGCGAGCGGATCTGAATCACTGCACGAAGACAGCAGAGGCGGCGACAAGAAAACTAGCTCAATGCGGTCGGCCTGTTCGGTGAAAATGCTGCAGCAAAGATTTCGGTCCTGCAGGTCACACAAGTCGATAGACTGGACTGGAAAGCGGGCACGGGCAGTGCCGCGATCGAAGGCCAAGACGTCGAAGCCATTCTTTTGCGAGGACTGAGCAAGACGCGCAGGGCCAGCGAAGAAATGCAACACAAGGCCTCGGTCACCAGCCATAGCTGATGTAACTTTGGGCTGCGACCTATGGGAAACCGAAGGGGGACCTACGGAGGGAAGAGGAAACCCCAAATTAAGCAGCGAGGCAGTGTCCTCAGCTGACATGAGATCAAGCCGATTCGCTGAGAAAGCAACCAGCACAAGGCGGGTGCCCTCCCAAGAGCAAGTTTCGTGCTCCACTGCCGGATCAAACACCACTGGGCAAGTCGCCACATCGAGGCGTCTTTCACCATCTGAAGTGTGCAACTTGATATGCCCAGCTGAGAAGTTACTGAGCGCCGCCACGCCATTCAGAGAACCAGGCAAATTGCCTTTATCTGAATGTCGGGTTGTTTGGACATCACGAAACAAGGCCACAGTTGTAAAAGTCAATGCTGGAAAGAACTGCACTGCCAATTTCACCAGAAGTCTGGTGACATGCGCATGGCTGCTTACGTGTTTTCGCAGTCCAACCAAGGGGCCCTGACCATACGCTCCACTAGTGAAAGACTTCTCAGTCCCGACTCTGCCGGAGCTTCGGGCCATGTCTTCACAGGGTAGCGAGGTCATGAGCTGGAGCAGTTGCAAAGAAGTGCATCGCCCAGCCGCAAGAATCTGGCAAGCAAGCATCTCCGGATCCGCTCTCGTCTGAATGAGAGTCTGGTGGAAAGTGAAAGATTTTGTTTTCGGCATTGGAACATGCTGGCTCAGAAGGAGCAGCAGCATTATGCAACCCGGAGCTGCACGACGAGGCAGCATCAACGGGATTGCTTGCATCAAGCGGTGTTGTATGCCTGTCGCGATCAACCGGAGGGTGGTCAGCGGACTGGCAATCATCTTTCGGAATGCGAGCGTCCCTTGAGGACGGGTCGCTTGGCGTGATCTCTTGATTTGAGTTTTGAATTCTGCAAGAGAGGGAGCCGGAAGTTTCGGCATCCAACGCCTTTGAAGGCGTCCTGCTGCGTGCACGGTCAGGCAAATTGCCTAGTCACGACTCTTTTGCCGCTTCTGCGGCTGCCTTTGCCCCTTTCTTGCCTTTGCCGGCACCCTTGCCTTTGCCAGCATGCCAACACTGAAAATGCCCATGCCCCGGTTTGCGACATGTCATGCAGATGTGGACCCCTTTCTGGCAGGCCGGAGGCGAACCCTGCGTAGCAAGTGAACACTGGCCGAGGTTGAATCCCCAGCATGCACGCCGTCCTGCAGCATCAGTGTGATGCTGACAAGCCTTCAGCTCCTGAGGCATCGTAGCGGTCTTAACCGGGGCCAGGAGCCCGCGCTTCTTTTCAAGGGTCCTCCTCTTCTTGAGACGAGCATTTGCATCATCAAGATCTGGCATTTCAACATGGGCCTGGGATCCACCTGGCCTCCCACCGCCACGGAGTGGCAGCAGATGCATGGTCACCCTCGGGTCGGTCTTCAGCTGATTTAGCTTTGCCTCAGCTTCCATCGTGCCATCAGAACCGACCTTGACTCGCTTCGTCTCCTTTGATATCAGAAGGAAAAGCTCACAATCGGCCTTCAAGAGTTGATCAACGGTGACACTCTGGTAACCTGCCGGAACCTCCTGAGCAAGGGTCTGCATAAGGTATGAGACCCACCTTTCGTGAGAGGTCCAGCCGATGATGTTGTTGAGGTCGAGCGCAAGTCCTCGCCTTTGCAAGCACCACTGGAGCTGTAGCGGAGTCTGATGATCGGCCGTCAACACGGTGGGGGCCGATGCAAGAGTGACACCACCCTCAGCTGCAACAAGGAACTTGGATTTGTCCTTGATCCCAACTCGCAGTTCTTGGTCCCTCTTCGTGCATTTTGAGGGCGGGACCCATGTTATGTGGTTCTGCTCAATCATGTGCGCGCATGCATCAATTAATGCATGCGATGGCTGCAACTCATCCTCCAACAAGAGCCCATGGAGCCTGCGTCGTTGATCTTCGATGCGGGCTTGTTTTTCTGCCAAAGGCAGTTTCTTAACCGCCTCGGCAGGATCTGCAATCGCTTGCTGTTTCAACTGCGCCACAACAAGTGTGATGGCCTCAAAATGAAGCCTCCTAAGCTGGGCAGCAGTTCCCAGGGCAACTGATGGCCCACACACGTTCTCAGCAAATGAAGTGAACTCTGTCTCGGTCGGAGGCGTTTGGGGAGTGCCGCATGCAAATGCCAAACTCGAAAAGCTCTCGATCCCTTTCGCGCGCAGATTCTCAAGAAGCGTACTGCTTCCACAGACATCCTTGCATCTGCTCTCAAACTCAGCTTTTGAGTCTATCAGCGACATGACACCACACGTGTGGCACCCTTCCCTCAACCCTCAGGCATAAAGGTGGGCTTGAGCATGATGAGACAGAAGTCGCATGTAAATGGAACCTGAGCGTTCAAGAATACACACGAAACATGTTCGCCATCCACTCAACTCAGCGGCTTGCTCAAAGACAAGACACACTCACGTGACTCAATAAAGGGTGGCAAGCACTCGAAATGTGACTTCACTCTTTTCCATCGCGCTTAAGGCTCACAACGTACCCTACTTCAGTGGTCCTACGGACTTCTTGCAATTTCGACAGACCGGGCTGTCCCACTTGAGTGATAAGGATCCTGTGAGCGAGTCTGTAATGCGCCTCCCGCAAACGGTGAAGTTCAAGTGACCCTGCATGACATAATGCAAGGTCTTCAACTTTGCGTGTTGCACAAACCGGAAACCTTCAGGAGGCTCTGGCAGGCGCGGGACGAACTGAGGCATCCTGGGTCCTGGGCTCTCCTCTTCAGAGCTTGAGCTTGCATCAGAATCTGAGCTTGTGGTGCCCTCGACAGACGATTTTGAGCTTGATTTACGGCTCGAATCTCCATCATCGGCCTCTGACACATCTCCCTCGCACTCATGGGACTCAGAAGCGGGCTCGGCGTGCTGTGATGGAGAAGGCTCAAACGAACTCAACGACACGACCTCGTCTTTGGGCCGGGCAGGAAGAGGCCCTGCGGTCTTCAAAGGCAGTGGCGAAACTCTCGGGACTTCATGGCCCAGCTCCTGTGCAAGCTCTGAAGTCTCAGCACTGACGATTAGCCTGCCAGCACGGTTGGCATCCGGAATGAAGACGCCCATACTGATCTCTCTGATGACACCTTGAAGCAACCTTAACGGGCGAGCAAGGGCATCCCTCGCATAGGTATCAGCACTCTTCGCTCCATGGGAGTGCCCTCCCAGCGCAAGTCTGTCAAGATGGCTCATGCCCCTCTTTGCACAATAACTCAAGAACGTTGCCTTCAGAGAGTGCGAAGTTGTTCTCATGTCCAGCCTCGTCGGCAAGAGTGCCCTGAGCCAGGCACCACACTCGTCACTGCCCAGAGCCCTGACAGTAGGCTCACCCAGATGATTGGGTGCAGGCATGGTCGGGTGGCCCTGCGACCAGGCACAGCCTACCTCCGCACGTGCAGCGAGCCACTTCAGGGCCCAGTCACCTTCATAGATTCCTTGCGCTGGTGCAATGATTTCAAGAACTCGGGGCTGCTGACCCTGCAGGTTCATTGTTTTGTGAATGTCGATGACACCTCCTACGTATGCAAGGGGAGAATCAGGGCCCTCTTCATATTCAAGTTCGATATCATCCAAGTGCGAGTCAGACCATCGGCAACGGCCGTACGCGCAAAACAGCGCGCTGCCTGCGAAGCAACGGTCCCAGGGGTCTGGCGCCTCATCCAACACCCTATGAAGCTCCTTGAGGTCCTTGACCCGCAGGGGGTCAGCCTGTCTTGCAGGAGTTGCAACCCTGGCAACAGTGACACCCCAACATCTTTTGCTGACACTGACTAGATGAAGGCACCTGATTTCGAAGACATGTCGCGAGAAGGTAATGGCTTCCATGAACCCCCGCAGCTGGGATAATGGGGCCCCTCCCGACTTGGCATCGGTCAAAATGATATAGATCTCGCCTTCGGAAGCAGGCATGACAATGTTTGCGGCTCCGGCCAACTTCGTGAGTTTGATCAGCGAGTTTGCTCTTTTCAAGGCAGTTGATGGCGCTTTGCGTGCAATGCTGTCATCGATGACGTTCCTCTGTTCAAGCTCCGACAATTGTGCAAAGCCATCCAGCGACTCATCCCTATTAGAATCCCAAGACCCAAACAGAGCAACCCATTTCACAATGGCCGTTTCAAAGGAGGCCTCACGAGCATCCCTCCAAGAAATCACCTGTCGCTGAACCACAACTTTCTGGAAGACTGCTGCGAACTCTCGACGTGCTTTCTTTGAAGATTGCGACTGACCCAGCTCAACAGGCTCTGACGAAGGCAAGTGATAAGGGTCTGGCCGCCTGTCCTTGAATCTCGGCATGATGGTTTCCGGCACTGAGGCAGGACCGAAGAAGTCGGACCAAAACCCCTGCTCCCAAAAGAACTTCGGTGTGGCATCTTGCAAGCTCAGGTGGGAGCTCCGTAGACGAGCAGCATACTCCCTAGATGACAAGACGGCGGTCGCTGCAACACTCGGAACACCACTATCCTTGGCAACTATTGCTGGCTCCACGACGCTGCTTGCAGAGACGTGGTCATCAAGAGCAACTTCAGCGAACCACTCGTCTAAGGAAGCTGCATGCAAATCGCTCGATGAAGGCCCTGCTGGGACGATTTCCTGAGGCATCCCTGATTCAGGCAGGTCGGACACACTTGACTGGCCGTCGCCCCAATCAACCTCAAGATCAGAGAAAGGCTTGCTCCTGGCACCTTGAGGCTCTGGACTATTTGCCATGGCCCCCCCCTACCGTGTGCTCGGAGCACCTTCTCTACGCTACACTACACCCCCATGCACAAAACACACATTGGTGAATGTACACAAGGGTTTCCCGCCCTCCCTCCCTTGAAGAGGGAAATGTTTCAGCACAACAAGTGTTCGCAAAGGCAACACATTGACGTGACTGAAAACAAACATGCTTGGTTTTAAAACAAAAGTTTCAAAACCATTTTCGAACGGAAAATAAAGGGTTCGTCCCTTCGAGACCCAACCATCTCCGTGATACACGGAAAGTCGTGTGTGTATGTATGTATGAATGTATGTATGTAAACTCATCCGCCCATGATACCCTTCCAAGGTTCCAGTTTAGATTGAAAGTGTAACTGCATTAGGCTCCCCGGTTACATACACAGGTACTCGCATGTCCATCACATAATATTCCTCGACATACATATATATATATATATATATAAAAAGACATGTACTTATACATATATATATATCTGTGTGAATGTATGCATGGGCTTCCAAAGTGCACGAACTTGCATACGTATGGTACAGGTATGCATGAGCTTCCACAGTGCATCGTGTGTTTCTGTCTAAACGTATATTTGTGTGTGTAGCTGTACATATGTACAGGTATGGAGGCCGTGCTTACGCACAGACTTGATATTCGCCATCCTTCACCCACCATGCCGCTGCGGGATTTGGGATAGGAGCCTGAGGCCGTCCATTTTCTTGTTTGAGCCTGTAGCTGCCTAAATGCCTACTCGTTGCATATACATATGTTTGCATGTGTATTCCGGAAACAATGCACATGTTTCCGTGATACATATATATGTATGTACCCATGTATGTATATATAGGATACATATATGTATGTGTTTATAAGCTTTGGAAAGGCATGAGCATGTGTGTATGTTGACATACACATCCATATGTAGGTGTGTATGTATGTCTGCATGTATATATCCAATCTACACACATATATCAACATGTATATACACATATATATATATATATGTAGGTATAAACTAACTTCTGTCTACCAAGGTTGGCTTGTAGGTAAGTATCTACGTTCCACCCCAAATGTCACAAGTATGTTGTGGCTCGCAGCTTATCTTTCATTGTCCGAGCTTGCGGATGAGGGCCCAACATTTTGTACGATGTTTTGGAATGTTGGAAGCCAATCACGACTCTCATTGTCGGGTTGTGGATTCGCCACCCATCATCTTCTTAGACGGTTTGGACCATCATAATTGGGGGTGTCGAGACCAGGTCACCATGAGTCGCGGTACAAGGACGTCAGTCCCATTTTTTAACGTGTAGAATGTATTACCCATCATACTTTTGTCATGTGTAAGTGTCATCCGTAAGTAATGTCACCGTTTTCAGGTGTGGGAGCCGCTTTCCCAGTTGTTCATGGAGGGATGTTTCATTTGATAGGACAGGATTGGTGGCACACTGGAAAGCTTGAGATGATCGCGTAGTGCGGGAACTGGAATGCCAAAGGCCGAAGGCCCCAGACATACCCTGCTTACCTCCGGATCTCCGTCCATAAGGTCCTGCCTGCGGGGGGGGGGGGCGCCAAAAAAAAAAAAAAATACCAGAGAGCAGCCCACCATTTTTTTTTGGCGCCCCCCCCCCCCCCCCGAGGCCTCCAGGCCTCCATGCCCACAGCCACACCTTAAGGCCGTGCCCTCATGCCCTCCACCTTCGGGATCTCTTTTGAACGATTGTCCTGTACTTTATCTCTCGGACAAGTATTCGGTCAGGTCATGTCAATGGTTTCGTGGAAACTCAAAGTAACAAATCACAACACGTCGTATTTGTATGCATCTAAAACAATGTGGTTGGAAGTGAAAAGCTTGCTAAGCTTGCCATCTGCGAACGCAGGTGAAAACATGAACACACGAAAATACACGCCGCCAGGGCGTACCATACTGAAACCCTAGGGAGGTCAAGAAATCCCTGTCACCGGGAGCTAAACCCGAGAGGTGACCCACGGTAAAGGCAACCAGAAGGGATCTGAACCCTTTCCACGGCAAAGTAAAGTGTTTGCAGTGCTTAGCATCAAAAGCCCAAGCATGAGAAGCGCAATCGAGTTTGAAGCCTGTCCACGGCACATCTTCGTAGGTTGTTTGGTCTGGGCCCTCAGGATGCACGACGAAGATGTGTCCTCCAGCGAAGGAGGATAGTGGGACAACGACGTTAGGCACGCTGCTGTTGAAGGAGTCCTGATGCATTGGGGCTTGTAAGTTCCGGTGCACAGACACGGATGTGAACTCGCATTTCGGTGCAACCAACTTGACACTTGCTGCAAGATACTTTGCCACCGCCGGCATGCGGCGTGTGTTGCTGCGAACTGCTGTGACCCCGCCTCGGTTGCACGCACCTACCGTAATGGCTTTAGAGTCTCCATCGGCTTCCAGCCAAGCCCGAGTGTGGTCCTCAGAAGGAAATGCGTCCAAAATGGACGCTATGTTAGTTGCACTGAAGTCGGAAGAATGCAAAAAGTGGCTTGCCAAAGATTCGCAAAAGGCATATGCATCGTCTAATTTAGCCGCCTTACAGGGTGGCTCAGGGGGAAAACAGGAAGAATCGTTGAGCGATTGATCATCTGCTAGCTCCATACCGGCAGTTGAGCCATGGCTCTCTGTGACATCGATCCCACCGTGCGCCAATGGCGATGGTGGGACGCGCGCGCTCGTCGGACTCATTAGTCACGACGAAGGCGCCTTTTTCGCAGGGCATTCCTTGGCTGGGTGCCCTCTGTGGCATCCTTTGACTGCACACAAATGCAATCCCCTTTCACACCTTTAATTGGCCACTGCTCAGGAGCATTTCCCTACCGAGTAATCGAAGCATAAGGCATGTCCTTTAGGCGTGGCGGCCACGCACCCGAGTGCGAGGAGCTCTGCCGGGACCCTGGCATTGGTGGATCCTTTGCCGGCGCCCTTACCCCCGCGCCCACGACCCAGGCCCTTGCCATTGCCCTTATGGCGCTTGATCGGGGGCTCATCACCTGAGGAAGCGTCACGGCTAGCTCCTGATCCCGCTGCAAGAGGCCTCGGGGTTAGCATCGAGAGGAACTCAGTGCTCTCGAACACTTTGCGGAATGCAACATCGCATGGCCGCGATCCTCCCGCCTTCACCTTGATGCCGCTGCGAGTGTGTTCCGCGAGCAACAAGGTAAATTGTCGGTCAGCTTGCTCAATCTGTTTCAAGCTCACCCGTGCATGATTCGGAGGAGGGTCGGTAAGCCTGAACGACATGTACTTCTCAAGCAACTCATCATGCAAATGGTATGCCATGATGTTCGCCTGTTCAAAGGCTAGGCCCCTTCGAAGGCGTAGCGGACCATCATGTCATTGGACACATCGCAAGGAGTTACATTGGGCTTGCTGGCAATTTTCAGGCGTAAGGGATGCATCCTTCTTGAGCCCGGTAAGAAGCTCATGCTGCCTGCTGACAGAATGCTGCCACTCCACATATTGGAGTCTGTCAGATTCGTAGATCGCCACAGCACGATCTATCAAGGAATCGCCTGGCTCCATGTTGCCCCTCAAGTCAAGACCTTTGAGCCTGGCCTGTTGCTCCCGCAAACGCTCAGCCCTGTCGGCCGGAGCTAATTTCTTGATCGATGAATCCTCCGTTGCTTCCACTTGAGCTCGAATGTCGGATGCAACAGTTGCGTATGCCTCGGCGAACAGACGCCGAAAGCAACTCGTCTCCTTAAGGGAAGGCGCAGCACCGAGAACCTTGGTCACCAGGTCGGTCAGAGGCTTCTCGTCTGTCGCAGACGGGTTGAAATGACAACAGAAGGCGAAAGTTGCCATCGTTGTCAGCCCCTCCGCCTCAAGCTTCGTGAAGCTCTCATCTGAAACTCCAATGTCTTTGGCTCGCGCCTTGAAGACAGCCGCGCTCTCTCCAAACGACATGGCTCCTTTTGCTAGATTGTCAAGCTCAGACTAGGGCCCAGCACGCCTTGCAATCACTTTTGTCGTCGGCAGCTCCCTAGTGCACCACACAATTCACGTGACAAGCACCGCTCAAACAGCACTTGTAGTTCTGCACTTCCCAGACATAAAGCAGTCACTACGAGATCGCGCGGGTTAATCATCCACGACCAAGGTGGCATTTGCATGTTGCCTTTTCTCAGACCCCGCGATTTTCGCCCACGCGTGGCGTTGACTCCTGACACTGACACGGCTTTTGAACCTCAGGAGTTCGGAAAGCAGGTGGCGCATGTAGGATACATAAATCTTGGCGCCTCACTCAAAATCTCAAAACGCACTGAGATCGCTCTACCGCACTTCAAGTGGGTCCCAGCCTCATCTCTCACCTTGTGCAAAAACCTAGTCTGTTTGTGACGAGCCCAAGGCCCGTCGCCGGGCTCGGGGCCCCACTGACCGGCAATCTGCTCCAAGGCCTGCTCCTCGTCACTCACGGGAGCCTCTTCCTCATCATCGGACGCCTCGCTAGAGCTCGATGATATAGCGTCAGCCTCCTCCTCATGCTCAGGTGGCAGCTGTGGATCTGCAAGATTGGCTATCATCCCACTTCGAGTGAGACCCGGCTTGAATCTACCGGCAGCTATCTCGTCGATGACCCGCCGGTCCAGCTCGCGCAATGGAGCCGCTAGTGAGTCCCTGGCATAAATGATCAACGACTTGTCCTTACGCGGTACGTGGTAACCCAGAGTGCGACGAGGGCCGGCCGGCACGCCTCTTTTCGCCATCCAGGAGAGCGGTGTACTCTTACAAGAGTGGGTCGCGATCTGGACGTCGCCAGATGCTTCACTCGCGCCAGGAATCAAACTTCTCAGCCAGGCACCTCCACTTGATACCTTAAGCGGAAGTCTTGTCCACCCGCCTCCGGTCGCGGGGCACGGAAGTGTAGGATACGAACTATCGAGACCCTCTGCTTCTCGAAGCTCAAGCCATGCTCTGATCCAAGGCCTACCTCCTACACATTTCAACGGGACAGCGATGGGAAGAGATCGGATCTTCCTTTCAAGCGACACCGATGTCTTGGTCCTCTCGGCTTGCCCTTCAAGGTACCCTGATTCCACGCCATCAATCAAAGCTGAATCAATCACGAAACCTGAAGAGCGTTGCATGTCCGAAAACCGTAGGCGACCATATATCATAAGCAGAAAACACCCAGCTGCGATTCGGTCCATTGGCCGCGCCAGGAGGCTGAGCACGAGAGCTTCAAGTCGCTTGACTTGCTCCACGGTTAGAGCAGGCCTGCGCTTAACTGCACACCTCGTCGAGTAATGAGCATTTGCAAGCCCAACGACTCTCCCGCTGCTTAGGGCTTCGTCCAACACGATCAAGCCTAGCGTGAGTGAGTGAGTGAGTGAGTGAGTGAGTGAGAATCGACTAGCACATACGGTGCAGCCTGCCGCCCACGTCCCTCTCGACTTCGCAGGGGGGCTCCGAAAACGTCATTGCCCCCCTCCATCACAGAGTTCAAGTGGGGGAAATTAGCTACTGCAGCCAAGTCACACTTCAACAACCCCTGGGACAGTTCCTTTTATGCTGCTCCAGCAATCAAGAACTACCTGCCAGTCTGTCTGACTCCGCGGCCGCAGGGCGCGTGGGTGCCCTCCAGGCTCTGGTTGAACAAGCAGCCAGACAGCATCCGTAAACCGATCACTTGAATAAAACAATTGCTAAAATAAACCTTGAACTGGCAATCCTGTTGAACAAGTTGCCGACCTTCAAGCTCTACAAGCACCGGGCGTGCGGATGCCCTCCGAGCTTGGGTGAGCCAAGCCGCAATCTCAGCAGATTGCCCTCCAACAACTAACCAGCAAACATGCCTCGGACTCTGCAAACGGCAAATAGCCGGTTGCTCCGCAAACACTGGTTGGAGGAGCAGTTGAATTACAACCGCCTCAGGCGGTGGCAGGTGGGTGCCCTCACTCAACTTTGGTTGGACAAATTGCCAAAAGAACAGACTTGGCCAGCCTCCATCCGAACTCTAAACAGAGAAGAAACCAAACAAAAACACCCAACCACTAACCTAAAAAGAGGGCACCAACAATACTGCCGCTCAACGGAGATGATCTGCAGTGAGCCGCTGAAGCGATGCCTGCAGGGTGTGCCGGCAAAAAACTTCTTGAACGTCCACTCCTACCATGGGTGACAGGGCTTCATTGACTAACACTGTCCGTCCATAGGTCAGCGAATTTTCCCACAGAGTATGCCGGCACTTCCTTACTGCGACGTATCACCAGAGAAGCTTACAAAGCTAGTAGTGGTCGCTGGACTGCGTTTTCCTCTGACCTTCGAAATCTTTCCAAGCAACCTTCCTGAATCAGAGAGAAGTACACCAGCCTGACCGTTCCGTGGCCTCGTCATAGGACGCACGAACCACGAAAAGGTGGCCGCAGTGGCCGCCGCGGATGGAAAACGAGAGCCGGCTATTCAGGCTGCATGTCTGTTTGAGTGAGTCCGACTCCAACGCCAGCTAGGAATGGGTAACCGGAGACTTGTACCAGCCAGGCTGGCAAACTTACATAAATGGAGGCTCGAGGGCTACAGGACGCAATTCAGATAATCATCCCACTTTCATCAGACAGTTCAAATTAGAGAGAAAACACAGGTGTCCCAACATCGTAAGGAAGTGGCTGCGGATAGGCACGCCTGCACATGCGCATATTGAGTCACCCTGGCAGCTCGGCACTGTTGGAATAGCAAGACCAAAACAGCAAGCACTGCAAGTAGGATAGGGCAATGCCACATAGCAACCGCTAGACCTGAGAAAGAAGCAAGACCAAGACCACACAGCAAGCGATGCAAAGGACAGAGGCAATGCCACACAGCAACCGCTGCACAAAAGAAAGAAGCAAGACCACACAGAAAGCGCAAACAGGAAAGGGGAAAAGAGACACCCCAACCGCTGCACATGAGAAAAAAGCCAGACCACACGGCAAGCGCAGCAAGAGGCAAGGGGCAGTGCCACACGGCACCCGCAGCACAAAAGAAGGAAGGAAGACCTCACCGCACGCAATCACGGCACAGGAGAAAGAAGCAAAACCACACAGCAAGCGCAGCAAAAAGGAAAGGGGCAAAGCCACACAGCAGCCGCTGCACAACAGTTGAAGCCAGACCACAGAGGGAGCGAAGCGAAACGGAACGGGGCAATGCAACACCGCAACCAATGCACCTGAGTTGAAGGCAAGACCAAACCGCAAGCGCTGCGAGAAGAAAAGGGCATTGCCACACAGCAAACGCTGCACATGAGAACGAAGCAAGACTGCCAAGCAAGCGCACCGAAGAAGTAAGGGGCAATGCCACACAGCAAGCGCTGCACATGAGATAAAAGGAAGACCACACAGCAAGCGATGCAAGCAGGATAGGGGCAATGCCACGCTGCAACCGCAGCACATGAGATTCAGACAAGACCACACAGCAGGAGCTGCGAAAAGGAAAGGGGCAATGCCACACAGCAACCGCTGCACATGGGATAGAAGCAAGACCGCCCAGCAACCGTGGCGCAAAGGAAGGGGGCAAAGCCACACCGCAACCACTGCGCAAGAGAAAGAGGCAAGACAAAGCAAGACCACACGGAGCAGAGAGAAAAGAGAAGGAACCAAGACGACACAGCAAGCGCGGAGAAAAGGAAAGGGCAAAGCCACCCAACCAACTGCAAGAGAAGAAGCAGAACCACACAGCAAGCGCTGCGAAAACGAAAGGGGCAATGCCACACTGAACCGCTGCACAAGCGCCAGAAGCACGACCACACAACAAGCGCTGCAAAAAAGAAAAGGGCAAAGCCACACTGCAACCGGAGCACAAGAGACAGAACCAAGAACACACAGCAAGCACAGCGAAAAGGAAAGGCACAACGCCTCGCAGCAACCGCTGCACATGAGAAAGCAGCAAGAACACACAACAAGCGCAGCGAAAAGGCTAGGGGAAATGCCACACAGCAGCCACTGAACAGGAGGTAGAAGCCAGACCACAGAGAAAGCGCCGGGCAAAGGAAAGGGGCAATGCCAAACAGCAACCATTGCACATGATTTAGAGGCAGAACCACACAGCACACGCTGCAAGAAGAAAAAAAAAAAAAGCATTGCCACACAGCAAGCGCTGCGCAAGGGAAAGAAGCAAGACCACATAGCAAGCGCTGCGAAGAGCAAAGGGGCAATCCAAACAGCCACCGCTGCACCTGAGATAGAAGGAAGACCCCACAGTGAGCGCTGCGAGTAGGAAAGGGGCAATGCCACACAGCAACCGCCGCACATGAGATAGAGTCAAGACCACACAGCAAGAGAAGCGAAAAGGAAAGGGGCAAAACCACACAGCAACCTCAACACATGGGAAAGAATCAAGACCACACAGCAACCGTTGCGGTTGCGAGAAGGATAGGGGCAGTATCACACCGCAACCGCCGCGCAAGGGATAGAAGAAATACCACACAGCAAGCGCTGCAAAATGGAAAGGGGCAATGCCCCACGGCAACAGCGGAGAGAAAAGAGAAAGAAGCAAGACAACACAGCAAGCGCTGCGTAAAGGAAACAGGCAATGCGCAGCAGCCGCCGCGCGTGAGATAGAAGCAAGACCACACAGCACGCACTGCAAAAAGAATAAGGGCATTGCCACGCAGCAAACACTGCACATGAGATAGAAGGAAAACCACACAGTAAGCGCAGCAAGGAGGAAAGGGGCACTGCCACACCGCAAACCACTGCGCAGGAGATAGAATCAAGACCACACAGCAAGCGCTGCAAAAAAGGAGAGAGGCAATGCCACCCTCCAACAGCAGTGTGAAAAGAGAAAGAAGCAAGACTACGCAGCAAGCGCAGCGAAAAGGAAACAGGCAACGCCACACAGCAATCACTGCGCATGAGATAGAAGCAAGACCACACAGCAAGCGCTGCGAATAGGATAGGAGCACCGCCACACAGCAACCACTACGCATAAAAAAGAAGCAAGACTCCAACGCAAGCGCTATTCGTCGACTCTAACTTTTACCACTTGGCAGTACATGTCTGGCATGAAGCATCAGGGAGCACCAGTTAGTTGCCGTCAAGCTCGTGAAGTGCAATGCAAGTGGTCGCATCTACGATGGTGAGGAAGGCCTTGCCTTCGCGGCACAAGGTGTGCACGCTACGTTGAACGAGGTCCTGCAGGAGGGGCGAAGCTGCGGGTACCTCCACGGCAGCCTCGCACCGGGATAGCAACCGTATAAGGGGCAATGCCTCTTGTCGAGACCTTGCGCGGAGGTGGCGCAGAATCCACCTACGAACCCGACGCAGCGTGAGGGTAGGCACTGAGCGCAAGTTCTGCGAGCCCGCCCCGCACGCACATGAAGCAACCAATCCAGCCATGTGATTAACCAGGGTCGGGACTACCGTAGTAGGACGCCTCCTACTAGGGCAGTCCATCCAGGCCTGCAGCCACACCCACAGGCAGTCGGGGCACAGCGCGTGGAGTTCAGCTGGCCCGGGTAAGTAGTACACGCTCGCCCCTCGGTTCCAAGCACGACACTGTCCACGTGTATGCAGCTTGCGTCCACAACCACTGCATGCCAGAACGCCGCTTTCACGGTTGCACCATTTGCAGGGTTGTGGGAGAACAGGACGGAGGGTGATACCCCCGCATTGCCAACAGCAGCTGATTGGCGCTGGGAGATCATTCCTAACGCAAGTGCAGGTCACCTGAAGGGCCGCCTTCACGGCGTTCAATTCCGGAAACACTCCACCCCACGTGGGAACCCCTCTCAACATGATGGGAACTCCGCCTGCCTGCACGGTAGCAACAATGGCATCCCCACTAAGCCTCAAGCCTGGAAAAACTGCCTTTATGCGGTTAATCACGATGTCCTTCGAGGGCAGCAACCACCTAAGTTCTGAAAGTAGCCCTTGTCCATGCGGTGAGCGCAGCCACTCCTGCAAGCCATTTGGAGGCGGAGGGGCGGCCTGTAAATTGGGCATCGCCTGGGGCACGCCGGCAGGCTGCATGTGATCCAACAGAGTACTGGCAAGTGCAATCCAAGCGTCCAATCGCTGCTGGAACTCCGATCGGACAAACCGCAGCCCAAGGAGCAACAGACTGGTGACGTCTACAGCAGGCTGGATGCGAGTGGAACGAGAATGTGAGGCGGCAGCTTCGGCAGTAGCTTGGCCAGGCTGGCGAAGGGTTGCAAATGTTTCGGCTGGGAGTAGATGGTCTAGAGTGGCGGCAGGAGGTAGCCTACACAGCGCTTTGCCCAACGCCAATGGAAGCACCCCGCGGTACGCGAGGTCATCATGTCCTTTTGCCCTATGGCTGCAATCCCGGGAGCTGCCCCTGGGCTCCTCTGAAAGATAAGCTTCCCGCTCAGGGAAGGCTACCAACCAGCGCCAAGCGCTGAGCACTGGCCACCTCAACTCGTCACTGGGCGAGGGCACGCCCGGTACCAAATTTTCGTTCCCAGCTCTCCAAGCAGTCGCGGCTGCAAGAAGCGAAGCTGGAGGCTGCAATTCTGACAAAGCGGCCTCTACGGAATCACGGAGAGCATCAGCTAGGGGACCCATGTGGACACAGCTCATCGACACATGCCTGGGGGTGCAAGGGCCACGACAGCAAAGCGGGCACGTACGGACACTATCCAGCCTACGAAATATAAGTGATTCATCTAGGCCCGGGGGGCGTTAACCCTTGCTGCAAACGGGGTCGAAATAAAAAAAGGTTATGAACCGTTTTAGAAAAATTGCATTCGTTCTAATAGGGTTTAAACCGTTCACTCAAAAGCTGCGTTTTCCCAACCAAAAAAAACACGTCCCCTTGAAACAAAATCGGTCCTTTTCTGGTAGCACGCACAAGCCCTCGCCAGTCCAAAACCCTCCCTAACAAGGCCCATAACACATCCCTATTACCGTTCAGAAACTACACAAGCTCAGGTCCTCTTTTTCCACTGTTCCGACACTCACGCTCGGAGCACCTGGTTTCTGTAGTCCCCTGCATTCCCCTGCCTTTCTAGCCGTATACATACTACCCATGAGCCTCTTTCTTCAAGGCGGCTGGCACTGGGCGCATCGCGAAGCCTTCGCGGTAGCACCCTGAGCCTGCTGCCCTGAATGAAAAGTCTGCGGCCCGTGGCCAAAAACTGCATTGGCTGAAAAAGCTCCCCAGCAGCCAGGACGGCAACAGAAACTTCAAGGCCAAGCCTCAGGAACTGCTTCTCAGCATTGATCGTCGTCGTCATCAAAATTAAGATCCAAAAGCTCGTCAAGCTCTTCGCGGGCAGAACGCATCACCCTCAAGTCAGCGATCATCTTCGCATGCTTCTCAGCCAGAAGATTGTTTTTTCCTCCATCACTTGCACCAGCTGCTGTGCTAACTCCGCGGCTTTGGAGTGCAGAGTTCTGTTCAGTTCCTGCAGCTCACTCACCTTCGACTGGGAGGCTTCTAGCTGTTCTTGCAAGGACTTTTCTGAGGACTTCTCAGCCACCTCATTGCGGGGGTTCGGTTTTGGGCTTGGGTCCTCGTTGATATTCACGATAGTAGGCGGCGGATACAGCTCTACCTGGGTGTCTGGAAAATCGCCTTCCCATTCCAGGCATGCATTCTTGCGCTTCAGGCCAGTCTGGTGCACTGCAGTAGAACTAGCAGCAGGCACAACCGGTGAAGCCAACGTGCGCCCCGCTGCCCAAGTCCCTGGATCAACCTGGCTGTCGAACAGCACAGAGTCGTTGTCCAGCATCACTTGGCTATCGAACAAACGTTGGCTGGACATCCTGAAAGGCACACCGCTCAACACCGAAACTGACAGAGCTTAACTTCTGCGGTTCATGAAATGCAGCAGTACAGCAAATGCTCTCCCCTGTCCCATCCTAGATGATATTAATGCATAAACCTTGGGTGGGACCTCGGGACACAGACCTCAGGACACACAACCCCGGACATGCCCCGGACATCCCGGACATGCCCCGGACATGCCCCGGACATGCCCCGGACATCCCGGACACCACCCCGGACACCACTCCGGACATCCCGGACACCCCCTCCGGAACATCCCGAACACACCCCCGTCCCCCCCCCCGAAACTCCTGACATAACCCCGGACACCCAGGACTCCCTACGGCCCTACGGCTTTGGCCCACAACTTTTTTGTTTGTGGGTTGTCTGAGAGCAGATTGTTGACAGGTGAATCGATACATCCCTTTGCAAGCTTCAAAAGTGAAGCTTGGCTGACAGGGAACCCGGTGACACTGTGCACAGTAACACCCTGAGAAACCCGACCTCAACAGTAAGCACGAGTGTGTACCCAAACCGCTTCTCCAGAGCCTACAGCTTCAGATACTGCTGAGGTCTGTACTTGTCCTAGTCCTAAGGCTCTGCTCTCAGACGCTGATCCCACTATTCTCCCGCACGTCTTGGTGTCAGTTGTATCTTCCCAGGGTTCGGAAAAAGGCAAGAATGGGTTAGCTGCAAAAGCAGCAGCCCACAGTGTAGCTGCCAAGCAGCACCCCTGCCAAAGGGATAGCTGCGAAGCAGCACCCTTGCCGATGGGTTAGCTGCAAAAGCAGCAGCCCACAGGAGAGCACCCCTGCCGAAGGGATAGCTGCGAAGCAGCACCCCTGCCGAAAACAACTGTTAAAAACCGCACCCCGATGAGATGGGGTTGCGGGGAGCAGGCAAGTGGGTAGCCAACAGTGGCAGCCACGAAGCCAAGGTGAATGATCCATAAGGTCACAGGTTAGCAGCAGAAGCTGCAGCCTGGACGCTAAGGATGCCGCACAGTTCACCTCTCGCGGATCCACTTCAGCAGCTGGCCGGTTCTTTTGGACTCCAGTGTCGGGTCCTGTTGGACCTGCCTCTCCAGGTGAGTGAGAGCCGTCTGGAGGCTTTTGTCAGACACGATGTGAATCCTGGCTCCGTGGCAGGTCTCAGGTCCCTGCAGGCTCAGATGAACGAACAAACAATTCGTGGGCAGCACGACTCCCCTCCCAGGGCGGCATGTCACACCAGCCATCCCGCTCAACTGCCGTGAGGAACTCTTCTGCACGCATCCGCTCCAGGTGCTGCAGCATCTCGGCCGTCGTGTTGCCGGCTAGCTTCTTCACGGGGAACCCCAAGTAGATCTCCTTGCCTTCGCAGCAGATGCGCAATTCGGGCAAGCCCCAGTCAGTGGACATCGAGAGGCGGCCGGAGTCCCCGGCCATCTGGTAAAAGTACAACTGCCAGCTCTCTTGCAGCTCCTTGCTCGAGGGTCGTGCCACGGAACGCAGTGGCACCGGCAGGATCTGGTCCAGCTGCTGCAAGAAGGGCCTGGCCACATTGTCTCTGGTGACCACCGCACACGAATACTTCTGGCTGCTCCTCAGCAGCATCTGCTCCACCCCCTTCTTTTGCTCGCTGTAATACTCGTGCCGGGTCACATCCCGGGTAAAGCCTTCCATCGGCGTTGGGGGGAGCAGAAGGGGCACTGTCATCTCATCCTCTGGCTCCGTTGCGCAGTTGATGATTTCATCGGGAAGCGGGTTCTCCTTGAGGTGCTTCAACAGATTGACCACCAAGGCGGGGGTCTCGGCAGCTGCCTGGCTGTTCGGATGATCAAGCTTGGCCTTCTTGTTCGAACCCCTCACTGTCGCCTTCGCGGCCAGCTTGTCCCGCTTCTTCACCTCCTTCTTGCAGTCTGAGGTGAATTCGCGGAAGTTTTTAATCTGCTGCTTCGTGTCCAACACTGCCTGGCAGTGCTTGCCAAGGTGCCACTCCTTCATGTAGGCTGCCAGATCCTTCTCCATTGACACCATGGCTTCGATGTCAAGGCATTCGTCACCAGCCTTGGTGTTCCATTCTGCGATGGACTCCTCCATGGCAGTCTCCAGGTCCTTGATCTTGCCATTCAGCACTTTCGTCTTTTCCTCGGCTTCTCTCTTCACGGGGACGTCTGACATGCACAAAGCATTCGTCAAGTCCTTGCACAAGGTGTCTGCTGTGGCCTTCTGACGCTTCAACAGCTCGGACATCGAAGCATTTGCCTTGTGGATAGCGTTGGTGAGGCTGAGCTTTGCCACTGCCAAGGAGGGAAGCTGGGTTGCTTGCTTCTCCTTCAACTCTTTCCTCTTTTGATCAGCTTTCTCCTTGAGTGCCAAGGCTTGCTGCTGAAATTCAGCAGCTCTGTTCTCAGCAACTTCCTTCTCTTGCTCCAAATCTCGTCGCACCGCGACGGCCGGAACGTAGGCCTGCTTGACCTGCTGCTCTGACAGAAGCCGCTCTGTTTGGAGCTTGTCAGAAGCACGTTTCATGCGAGGTCCGATTTCCTCTTCGAAACCATCAAGCTGCTCGCCATCGCCAAGGTCAGTCCGCTGCCGCACGGATGCTGCAACGGTATGGCGGTCCACGACATTTTCCAGACCTCCGTTGTTGACCCGGAGGCAGAGTTCCCCGTTGATCTCCTTGGTCACAACGTCCGGATCTGTGCAGGGCTGCTCGTAGGCTGCCATAGCATCCTCCAAGGTACTGTACTGCTTCAGGATCATTTCCCGTGCGCACCAGTCGCGGGGGGTCATGTATCGTGAGCCGCTGCAATCTCCGTTCCCAGTCTGGCGAGTCTCTTCCAAGGCCCCCACTGCCGTTGCGAAGGTCCTGCGGCTTTTCTTTGACTCGGTTGCCCGCTTCCGTTTCTCTTGGCGGTACCACTGGGCACGCTCCGAGGAACCCATCTTGGCCACGCTTCCCCTCAGGGCCTCAGCGCTTTTTCGAGCTTTCTTGGCCTCCTCGCTTTCTTTGGCTTCTTCGGCAGAGCCCTTCTTCGGTGCTTTAGCCATCCGAGAGAGGCACCGGTCTGTGGACGAACAGCAGGAGCAGATCCGCCTCAAGCAGTTCCTTCCAGTTGGGTAGCTCGTCAAGATGCTTGTCTCTTCCTCACACCTGATGCACATGATGCTCTGAGGCATCTCCTGGTCCGGTGCATCTGTCATGCTTGCTGCGGGGCAGGGGAGCACGAGTGTGGGAGCTGAGGGGCTTGTGGAGCCAAACAAATCGCTGCAAGACACAAAAACAAGAACCCTGAGTTCAATGGCTGTCATCAGGGAACTACCCGGCAAGCTTACTCAGCGAACACAGAAGGGTTATCGGAAGACTGTTTTGCACTATTCTCAAGCTTGCTGTGTGCACACACACACACACATCTGCTCATCCACCTACCATCCTAGCAGGTCCTATCTACGAACAGGCAGACCGCCACCATGGCAACCGACCCCGCTTAGAAGCGCTAGTCGGAATCCGAGAGGTGGATCGCTTCTTTTGGCAGGTTCAAGTGAGGTGGGAAACGCAGCTTGCGCTGAGCATTCTCTGGCATGTCTCGCCCTGAGCTAGTAGAACGCCTCCGTCTGTCGCCAACCTTGCTTCCGGAGCTTTGTGCTGGCTCAGCTTCGTTCTTGGAGCTCTTGCTTGCTGGCGAGAGCCAGTTTTTGGATGAAGCTTTGGCTTTAGCCAAACACTCGAAGAGGTGTGTTGCTTTCTCACTCAGGACGAGTGGCCTCTGTGGCGCAGCATCATCAACGTCCATGCCCGGATCATCATCCGAAAAAAGCTCGTCAACCAGTCGCTCAAGCTCTAGCTCCAAGTCATCGGACTGGTGACGTGGTAAGTCCTGGGTTCTGCCTTCTGGCTGGTGACGTGGTAAGTCCTGGGTGCTGCCTTCTGGCTGGTGACGTGGTAAGTCCTGGGTGCCATCTAAACCAGCTGTGCTGGTGTCACGAGGCAGAGTCTTTGGGGCTTCCTCTTCAGCTGAAGCCTCCGGCTTTGTGCTGGTGTCACGAGGCAGAGTCTTTGGGGCTTCCTCTTCAGCTGAAGCCCCCGGCTTTGTGCTGGTGTCACGGTCACGAGGCAGAGTCTTTGGGGCTTCCTCTTCAGCTGAAGCCTCTGGCTTTGTGCTGGTGTCACGAGGCAGAGTCTTTGGGGCTTCCTCTTCAGCTGAAGCCTCTGGCTTTGCGCTGGTGTCACGAGGCAGAGTCTTTGGAGCTTCCTCTTCAGTTGGAGCCCTTGGCTTTCGAACCCTGTTGGCCTTGGGGTTGCGAGTCTTTGGGGTTACCTCTTCAGTTGAAACCTTTGGCTTTGTAGCTGTTTTGGCCTTCGGGGTTCGGGTCTTTGGGCTTGCCTCTTCAGTTGAAGCCTTCGGCTTTGCACTGCTTTTGGCCCTCGGTTTTCGAGTCTTTTGTGTTGCCTCTTCAACTGCAGCCTTTGGTTTGGAACCTTTTGTGGCGCTTGGCCTCGGGGTCTTTTCAAGGATACAAGCTGCTGATGTACCCGGTGGCTTCGTGTGCGGCAGAAGCTCCACTGCGCAGGCTTTGCAACGGTTGCCTGCAGTGAGCACGCCAGAGTTGACCGCTGCCTCCACGAGCGGCGAGGCAACAGCGGCCAGCTGCACTGGCGAGAGAGCGTTCCCGATCGCATGCAGGGCATGGGTGTCTCTCGAGAACAAGGCCGCGTGGCTTGCACGCTGCCCCAGAGCGCTGTACCGCTCAGCGATGCTGAGCCACCTGTGCAGTCGCATGACCTGCCATGGCCTCGACAAGTCCTCGCAACTCAGAAGAAACAAAGGTGGCCCCGTAGTCCTCAGTGATGGGATCTTGCCCCAACCCCACTTCCCGCCGAAACTTCTCAAGGGGTTTCGGTCGAGCTCCACAACAACCGTGTTCGAGGGCAGCGGCTTGCCTTGGGCACGATGCTCTTCGATGCACTGAGATATGGTCTGCTTGTACAATGCGAGGTTAGCAGCGTGCCCTGCACACAAACTCTGCACATCGGTCGCAGCCAAGCTCAGATCCAAAATCTCTTCCACTGTGACTGCCGGGAGCAGATCCGTGCAGCACAGGGGGGCAGGGAGGAACGCCTGCATGGGGTCTGGCAGGCAGTCTCTCCTTAGCCCTCTGATGAAAAAACGACCTCTCTTGACTGGCAGAAACTCCGCAGCATCCTTTTTCACGGTGTCTACCAAAAAATATGGCAGTGACACTTCAAGTCTCAAGAGCATCTCATTCAGAAACTCAGCATGGTTGGCATCAGCCAAATGTGAGCTGTTTTCCAGAATGAAAAACAGAAGACAGCCACGCGACCCTTCCTCACATATCATGCTTACAACTGATTCAAAAACATCTGTGCGGCCTTTTTCGTCCTGGGCGCCCTGCCTTAAACCTGTGGAGGCAAAAGGCTGACAAGGGGGCCCGCTTATCAAGCCTTCCGCACTTGACAGTTTTGACAGCACGACATTCCCCTCGATGTCCCCTTCTTGCAAACCAAGTTTGACTTCCGAAGTCCCCTGCAAACCCTGGTTTCGCAGAGCTCGCCAAAACGGCACCAAGTCCATGTTGAAATCGTAGGCTGCGCATGGCCTGTAAACAAGCCCTGCTTTCTGCATCCACTCTCGATAAGCAGAGATGCCTACACAGGGCTCAGCAACCACAGGTGCACGCCCCAGCTTTGAGCTCCAAGGACTCATCGCATACAGGAGCTTCGCTGCCCCAGTCTCCATCATGCTGCAACCCACTAAAAACAAAAGCTTGGCTTGAGAAAGAAAAGAAATCAGGATGATGACTCCGGCTGTCTACGCTATTCTTGGAACTGGCTTTGCTCACTCTCAGTGACAAACTCAGGACTGATGTAAACATTTCCACCCACGGAAAAAAGACAAGCAATCATGCAATGCAGTCTCTCAGTCAGGCAATTGGGTGGCACAGTCTACCCTTGCAATGCACTTGTTTCCATTTCCATGCAAGGCCTTGAGACAGGCAATCATGCAATCTCTGAGTCATGCAATTCGGCGACAGCATTCCACCGCAAACTCTTATTGTCGGCGACAGCATTCCACCGCAAACTCTTATTGTCGAGCTGACCCGAAAAAAAACCGCACTCAGATTCTGGACCCTTCCTTCCACCATTGCCACCACCAAATGGTCCCATCATCTGTCTCCATTCGTTGACCCTTCCTTCCACCATTGCCACCACCAAATGGTCCCATCATCTGTCTCCATTCGTTTCCAGCACCACTTCCAAATGATAGTCGCAACCCTTTCCCCTCGCGGGGATCGGGATCGCTCGGATCGCTCCTGTGTGCGGGTGATCACACGGGTGATCACACTGCTGCCCGGCTCCTGGGTCGCATCGGTCTCATGCACTGGAGAGTCACCTCGTTTGCGTTTGCCAGGCATACCCCTGGCGCTTTTTTTCTTTGCTGCTAACACAAACAAAGCCTCGAGAGATATCGGCTGCTGTGCAAAGAGTTTAGAGGACGCAAAGGACATCATGAGACGTGGGCGGGACCGGGGCTGGGCGGAACTCGGGCGGGACAAGGGCGGGACATGGCGGGACGTGGGCGGGACATGGCGGGACATGGGCGGGACATGGCGGGACATGGGCGGGACATGGCGGGACATTGGCGGGACAGGGGCGGGACAGTGGCCGGACATGGGCGGGACATGGGCTTTTGCTTTGCAACGAAGCTGTCGTCTCCGACGCTGTCGTGGGCCTACTGTATCGTTGACTGTACACAATACAGGTCGTCTTAAAGACGAGCTTACCCCTAGGACAATCACAAACAGACAGCATAGGCGCAGGCCGTGCACCGTGGTGCCTTAGAAAGCCTTTGCAGCCCAGCCATAAGAACTACAGAAAAGATGCGGGAAATGAAATTGAAGAGTGCGACCAAATAGAAGTTTGGATTAAAGTACAAAAACATGCAAAAGGAAAGGCCATGAACGAGGAGTTTCATCCTCGAAAGCCATTCACGTTCTCAACCCCCCCCCGCGCGCATCATAATTTTGGTGTCGTTTTGGCCCACTAAAACTGTACAAAAGTGGCCAAAACACCCTCCCATAATGCTATACAGATGTGTGTGACTGCGTATGGTCTCACACCAAAGAGCATCCGAGTACGAGCCAAAACAAATTAATGAGCGAAGTTCAAAACGAATTCAAAAACATATCGACTTAACGATGTAATGCCTCAACGGGTTCTCCCAGGCATCACCAAAAGAGAATTCATTTGACCAAAGGATGGTCGGTTTATAATCGGCTCCAAGCTCCAACCTGCACCGCACCCCCGCAAGTGCCCCAGCTCGGCGGCCACTCCTTGAAACTATGCACAGTAGCGTCTTACATGGTCCAGGGCTCCTTCTTGTGGGAGTCTTGATTTTGTTCTAGTTCCCTGGCCCAATGATGTTACTCGGAAACAACAGCTTAAGATTCCAGTGCTGGCATCTTGGGGCCCACCTTTCTTGATCTAGAACTGGGCACTGGAAAATCTGTTACCGCAACTAAGCTGTATTCATGGGAGCACATTTCACGCAATGCGCTCAGGGCATCACGCTCCAGCAGTCGTCAAGTTGGCCCGAATGGACCCGTGTAACAAAACATGCATCATGCAGCTCGCACTCGTCTTAAAATTAGCTTAAGAAAGAAGGAACTCAGCCACGCTCAAAGTCACCAACTCAAGTGAAGACACCCTCCTCATCCAAAGTGAGCTTGCAAGAGATCGGCAATCGAAAACGACGCACCCAGGAGCGAGGCCTGGGATGAGTTGCTCGGCACCGCCACCGCAGCAATCGCATCATCTGCCTCACATGTCCATGACTGGGGGACCTGAGCATCAGGATCACGCACGACCCAAAGCATGTACATGTGTTGTAACTCCTGAATGGCGTCGCCATCGTTGAGCAGCTTGGCACTCCGGCCATCATCGCACAAGTAGACGCCCGATGAGCTGAAGAGCATCGCCTGACAATGCCCATGTTCCCTCTGAAACCCCTTGCGAAGTACACATGCACTGACCTGGTATGCTCGCCACTCCACGTTATCATCTGATGGAACTCCAGCGTCATCCACAAGGTGAGGCAGAGTCAAGCGAAAATCCGGATCAAGTATCTCAGGCCATTGCGGCTGTTCTGCTCGAAGTCGGTCTCCGATTTGCATGCACACGAACTGGGCCTGGGAGCACATAACATGTACCACGTCAGAACTCCTGTGCCATTGCGAAATAGACGACTGCAGACTCAAAGCGCCGTGCTGCAGCAAGAGCGGGATGCACACATTTAGCAGCGAAGCATGTTTTTCAAATCGCCACCAATACCCCGAATGCTGTTGAAACTGACTAGTCTGCATACACCAATGGTAGAACTCGGCGGCATCATGCTGTCGTTGATCGCTATGCTCGGTGAACCAGTCTTTCATAAGGGAATCGACCGGGGGGAGATGTTTGAGGTAACCTTGCCACTCATGCGCCACCAAAGTCCTACGTAGGTGCTGTACCCAAATCGACTCACTACGCGGTGAGGGCCCCGTCATCAAAGCCCACAAGTGAGCTGAGATCACTGAGTTGGCATAGCAGCATTGATCAGCATTGTGAAGTGTCAGCTGCTTTAGAAAGCCCCGCCATTCTTCTTGAACACCTGCTGGGCAATCTGATCGCACAATTTGGACCGCCGAAGGGTGGCCGCTCGCATCTGTGTGTTGAGAAGTTGTAGCACTCCATTCCCCTGAAGTGTCACGAGACTCGTCCACAAGCGCGAGCTTTGAGGGTGGCGCAAGGAGATATCCAGCTGCCACGGGACTACACAGGCCGCCGCTTGCATGTTCACTGTTTTTAGCGCCTTGTGTGCTTTGAAGCGCGTGACCATTCCAGGCATGTTGAGGTGCTCGATGATCACCTTCAGCAGCTGGTGCATGTCCGTCATCTTGATGGGCTCTCGCGTCGTGGGAACCAGACTTTTCGTCGCCTGGTCCCACGCCATGTATGCCCAAGACCCTTCCGCATTGAGGATCTTTTTTGCCATCAGACCCTGCCCCAGCTCCTGGGCTATTTGCTCTCGGGCCTTCGTGACCCGTGCTCCGAGCTCCGTCCAAAGAGCCACCGACATGTGTTGACGCAATGGCTTGTCCACCTGCTTCGCCGCCTGTTGCTGATGCCACGTCTGGCTCAACTGCAGAAGGTTGGGCAGATAAGAGCCTGGCCCTGCCTGCATGAACAACATCATTTCGGTGCTTTGCGCCAGTACTCGCAATGCCTCTTCCTGGCGCTGTAGCTGGATTGCCATCATCCGTATCAGAGCCGGGAGCGACACGCCTTGGGGTCCTAGACCGGGACCGGGGCCCCTCACCTGCTGCGCATGACCTTGTGATCCGCGCTGTCGCTTCTGTGAATGCTGACCTCTCATCATTCCCTGTCGTTTCGGCGTGGGAGTCTGGAAGAGGGAATGAAAACCGTCTGCCATGTTCATCGGGCCCATCGTGTGACCCGTCATGAAAGGCGCCATGGTCTCCATCAGCTCCAGGTGTGGTTGATCTTCGCCCTCCATCCACTGGTCGGGGAAGCTCTGATCCTGGAAGAAGCTGGCCGCAGTCATCTTTACTTGCCGTCGATGTGCAGGCTGAGGTCTGATCCCGGCGAGCTGGGTCCAAGGTCTGTCCTTTTCTGGTCACGAGATTCGAGCCATCCAACGTAGCTTGTTTGGCATCGGCAGCATGCTTATCAAGGTAATGTGCTGGAAACAAGCATGCAGGCATCTCTTCACCACACCGTTTGCATCTTACACGTCCTGGCTCCACCTGAGTGCATCGGGGCCTGTACTTGGGCGGCTTGTGACGCAGGTGATCTCGGAGCTTCGCCTTGTCAGAGAAAGCTCTAGAACAATGCGGGCAATGCACACGTGGCAAACTGATGGCTTGGGCGGATGCTCCGGACTGCACTGCCTTCGAGATTGAGGTACTTGGGCGCCCATCGTCAGCATCACTTGGCCTTGACTCCTCAACGGCTGTACTGGACGGCTGGGACTTGAAGACAAACTCGAGAGCAGCAGCATGTAGCACCACATTGCACACATGAGTCGATTTACCTGAAAGTCGCTCCATGCAAAATTTACAGACCCCGCTGCTTTTGGGAACAACAACCTCCCTGTGCAAAGCATTCGATCGCTCCCGGATGGATTGCGCAATAGCTCCATGACTGTATGCAAGGTGCTTTGACAAGCCCTTGAGTGTACATTGTTGTCCACACAAACCGCAACCACCGCGCATGGCAGCACAGCATTGATCCTGCATGAGCAGCTTAACAGCCCCCCCTGAGCCAGTGAAGACTCGAAGTCGGTCCGGGTCCACAGTGGTTGAATGGCAAAGCCTGCATCCTCATCGAACTTAGCACATGCACCGCCGACGATATGCTGAACCAAGTTGGTTTTGTGCCGCAACTTCAAGCCGCAATGCCTGGACTCTGCTGTGCCCTGAAAGGAATCACGAAGTGGTTCGAAGACAATGGTAGAAGACTTCGAGGCTCGATCCGGATGCTCATTGCGCTGATGTGTTTTAAGTGCTGCAGCGCTGCGGCATGTAAACTTGCAGTCTGGGCAAGATAGCGTCGGCTCCACAGTGCATTTCTCTTCTTGTGTTCCCGTGATCTTCTCAGCGGTGGCACTGTCAATAAGTGCTGGACTGGAAGGAAGATCCAGCCACCGAGTGATGTCTCGCGCTGGAATGTGACGTCGATTAGACTCCTGTTTCTTACGCTTCGCCGCCAACATGGTCGCAAGATGTTGCCATGGAAGAGGCTGGTCAAGTCTGCCGAAGAGGTCTCTAGTGGTTTCATGGTGTTCATGGTCACGAGTTCGAACCATGATTCGAAAGTGCTTGGCCACGAGACGATGGATACGACCTAAGCCATAAGAGTCGACCCCAACCTCGAGGACCCCATAAGTAAGAGTAGACCATACACATGTGTTGTATAACCGAAGTCGGTCCGCCAATCGATGGTGAACTCTGTCGCACAGTACCTTCTTGAGCCTAGCAAACGCCGTCTGTGCAGCTTGGACTCGTCTATCTATGGTGTCACGCTCAAATCGGTGATAGCTGATGCTCGCCCCCAGATAGCCCGTTTTGCTCACCATAGGTAGAAACTTCACATCTGCGGTTGAGACCACACAGCGAAGAAAAGGTCCTTCCTTGTAACGATGAACATACTTGGATTGAAATTGTGTGGCCCTCGCACCTGCGATAGCCATCATCGCGACCGACTTGTTGTAGTTGATTCGGAATTTCATTTCCTCCAGCGTTGTAAGCAGGACCCCGATATCACCAATAGCTTTGCCAGCTTCGTTTTCATTGGTGAACGTCCATCCCCCGTGAATGTCATCAGCAAATATCGTTAAATGCTTAGCAATCCAATCCCGCCCATGCTTGGCCTCGAGGCGCCGAAGCACCCCCAACATCACGATGTTCCAGATCAAAGGGGAGTCTTTGGCTCCCTGCTTGATGCCTCTGCGGGCTGCAACGGTTCCTGTCTCCCCTTTGTGTTGAATCGTGTACGTTCCATTCATAACCGAGGTTTTCAGGGCCACAGACAAGTCAGGCGGCAGCTCGATTGCATCAATGCACTCTAGCACAAACGGCCTGTTCACGACATCGAACGCCTTCTGCATGTCCAGAGCAATTTGTACTCCGCCTGTCAACATATGTTTGGCTCTATGTGTGCGATTGTGTTGTCTGGTGCTGGTAACCAATGACCTAACGGCTCGGCAATGTTCAAATACTCTGAGCAAGCAATGTCCGGTCGATCTGCAGGGAAGGTACGCAAAACAGGGCAGAGACTCAAAGAGCCGGGCCACATGGTCGGCTGCCAATTTTGTCACCACACCTGCCACAACTTTGCTGGCGGGATGCTGAAGGCATATAGCCCTAAGATGTTCTGGTCGATTCGGCGATTTTCCTGGCTTGTTTAATAAGGCAAGAAGACCATTCAGCCAATCGGAAGGCATGCTGCAATGCTCTCCACACCAATGTTGTTGCAATTTGGCATAGAGGTAGGGTGCAATCAAGCCAGCATGCTGCCTCCACACCGTCGCCGGCGCCGTAGAAGGTATCAGCGCCTTTAGCGCTGGCAATGCTTGAAGCTCTTGACGAACATCATCTAGACTGAAGGGGAGTTCACTCATGGGCTCCATGGACTGCAAGTTGAAGTCTGAATCACCGAACAGCTCGCCAAAGTACTCGCGCAAGCACTCTAGTGAACCTGTTGGCCCGAGAGGCCGACCCTTCGCATCATGTATGTGCACCCGCCGAGCTTCCTGCCTAGGACAAAGGGAGTTGATACGTTTATACCATCCCGCGGCATCGTATTTGAGTGCACATTCGGATGCTTCCTGAAGAAAAGTCTCCAGTTTTTCACGCCTAATCACCTTGGAACGCTTTCTCAGGGCAGTGCTGATGGCCTGAAAACGGGCACGAAGTCGCCACGCTTGAAGTAGAGATCGCAGGTCCTGACCATTACACCGCTTCATTTGGGCATGCAGGCTCCACATCTGACGTGTTTGTCCTGCCAAGGCATGGTCTTGAAAAGGCTTGTTTCGCACTACCTGCGACTCGGCCGGAAAGAATTGATGTGTTTTAGAAGTCAGAATGGCCTCCACCTGCTCAAACGTGCCATCCGAGAGCCCATGCACGGCGACGGTCACGGCGCTGCTGAACGCACACCACTGTGTTGTCTGAAGTTTGCATGCTTCATGAATATCCCTGCGCTGCTGGACCGTGAATTTGTTTCCAGGTGGCTGATTCGGCTTCCAAGGAGTCCAGACCACAGGAATGGTGCCCGTTACAGGTACATGTCTTGATCCTGTGCGATGTCTAGCAACCGGAAAATCATCGAGGAGTTGAGTGTGACGAGCCAGCATGTCTGCCTGAGGTCTGCGAGTGATGGCAAAGTCAATTCTGCTTTGAGCTTCATTGGCACCCTCAAACTTGTAAGTGGCATGCCAACCATTCCAAGAATTAAGGATCACCAGGTTAAACGAATCCAAGATCTGCCCAAGCTGTTCTCGATCTTCAAATCGAGTGAAGTTCGGAGCCAACTGATTCAAGTTGATGGGGCCAACACGCCCCTTTCGAGGTTCCAAATCAGTGTTAAAATCACCCAGCACGAGAGTTATGTCCCTACTTGGACACTGCTGTAGAGTGTTCTGCATTTGTTTCCAAAATTTGTTGCGATTCGCCATGCTACTCGATGACTGCGGCTTCCATACATACTGATACGCCCCAATAAGATTAAAAATATTGGACTTTCCATGCAGCCGAAGGTGAACAAGTCGACCCGGTAGTACTTCTCTCCAGGTGACCCCGTCCATGTTGCACACCCTGTCTGCGATCATGATCAAGATGCCAGAGTTCCGATGGCCGCTGTGCACACAATGCCATCCTGGAAGCTTCCACTCCGAAGTGAAACTCATGCGTGTCTCCACTACTATCAAAACGTCATACGTGGCTTGTGTTGTCCATATCATGAATTCATCATAAGGAAGACCACCAGCATTCCATACCATATAACTAAGTCGCGGCTTCGTCGGCTTAGTACGTCTGATATGTTCAGGAGATATAGAGTGCTGCGTGGTACGGGTGGAGGACTGCAAGTCAGCATGCAGGCACTGTCGCATGTCCTCGGGAATGTCATGCAATGTAAATGGTCGTCCCCTGTACATGGTGGAGCCGAGGCGAAAAGCTCGCCTGCAGGCTCTTTTGAAAGTTCTTTTGACAATGATCTGCTTGTTCCTAGAGGATATCAGACCGAAGTCCCCTGTGGCCCATACGCCATTGTGCTTCGCAACCGGTATGCCAGCTATCCGTTGTGAAGCTGGTGTTGCTACGGCATCTGTCATGGCACAGATGCCACCCTCGTGCCCTGTGCAACTGATTAGAGTGAAAACCCAAAGGACCAACCTCCAGACCATTGCACAGTCCGGACTTGGGACCGGAACGAGTTCGATTCTGATGCTCCGCGCCTCTGTCAGCTTCTTGTAATGCAGTGTACCGATACGCCCCAAAACAAAGTAGTCTGTAGGCAAAGTATCGGAGCCAGCAATAGTCCAGATGCTTCTTCCACGGTACTCCAGAATGCAAAAGCTTGTCCGTGTGCAAAACACTCGAGTTTCGTTTGCACCACAAAACAGCAAAGCTTCTATAAGCAGTTCACAGTAAAAATGTGAGCTGCAAAAGCCCAGTTCTGAAAACCATGCGCGGGAGCTGCAGAAAGCTACAAGTCTGAGCACTCGTGGCACTTGGGACATGGGCGGGACACGGGCGGGACACGGGCGGGACACGGGCGGGACATGGCGGGACACGGGCGGGACATGGGCGGGACATGGGCGGGACATGGCGGGACACGGGCGGGACATGGCGGGACACGGCGGGACATGGCGGGACACGGGCGGGACATGGCGGGACACGGGCGGGACATGGCGGGACATGGGCGGGACATGGCGGGACATGGGCGGGACATGGGCGGGACACCCAAAACGGCCCCAGACACCCTCGAGCCCCGGGCCCCGCCCCGGACACCTTTCCCGGGCCCCGCCCCGGACATCCCGGACACAACCCCGGACATCCCGGACACGACCCCTGACATCCCGGACACGACCCCGGACATCCCAGACACGACCCCGACACGACCCCGGACACCCCGAACACGAGAACCCCAAACAAGTGCTAACGCCCTCCAGAGCCCTCCCAGTGCCCCCAAAGCCCCCCCGAAGACCCCCAGGGCCGCCCCCTTGAGAATTCACTGTGTTTTCTGTGTTCTGTCCTCTTGTGGCCTTAAAACCCTTTATGAGTTCAACATGCCCGGCAAAAACAAAACTGAAACGAATCTTTTTTGGCACGACTGTGCTCGGCAGTGCTTGGTGAGTGGAACACTGGAGCTACTTCCGACTTGGCCTTTTCAGCTTCAGTTTTGCTTGGTGCCTAAGGGTTCAGGTTTCCGGCTAAAAGCTTAAAAGCTGTAGTAGCTGTATTTTGCTTGGTGCCTAAGGGTTCAGGTTTCCGGTTTCCGGCTAAAAGCTTAACTGTAGTAGCTGTGGCTTTGCTTGGGGCCTGAAGGCTTTCGTGAGCTAAGGGCGGGTGAAGGCCAGTCGGGCTCCTACCCTACGGCCTGGCTCTACGGCCTAGCTACCGCGAGCCTCCTCTGCGAGAGCCGAATCTTAGGGCTCTGGGTCCAGGATCGCACGGATCTTAGGACACCAGGCCCAGGATTCTTCCTCTCGCCCAAAAATCTTCGATGTTAGGACTGCTGCTGCTGCATGTCCAGCATCTTTTTGGTGGCATCGAAAAAGGCCAGCATCATCTGGGGGATCTGAGGGCTCTGGCTCTGACCCGCCACCATGGCCCGATCCCTTGGCGATGATTTGCTGCGGCCTAGCTGCCCTGTCGGCTCCTTCCGCGAATCGCGCCCACGACGACGGCTGGGGAGCGGCCCGAGAAGCGTCGGTCCATGTGCTCGCTGCCGCGGGAGCTCTTGCGGCTCCCTCGAGAGCTTGCCTGGCCGCCGCCTTTGCGGCTCCCCCGAGAGCTTGCCTGGCCGCCGCCTCGAGAGCTTGCCTGGCCACGGCTCTGGCGGCTCTCACCACGGCTTCTCCGGCGCCCACGGCTGCCATCATCATCTCGGCTCTCTTCACGCCGCGGGCCACGTCTGCGCGGCGGCTCCTCCACACGCCCCCTGCTCCGCAGCTGAACCGGCGGCCTGTGCTGGCTCATGCTAGCCGCCCGGTCCTCCTTTGATGGCTGCTTCTTCCGCTTATTGTGCATGGCCTGAAGGCATTCCTTAGCCTCGTCGGAGCTCGGGCGCGTGCCCAGGCAGTGCTGCAGCATGTCCCACCTGCGCATGAACTGCCGTGAGCAGTATCTGCACTGGCACGCACCCGAGCTCGCCTGCTCTTCCGCAGGCTTTTGGCCGGCCAAATTTTGGCCGGCGGCGTGGAGCCGCCACTGGCGGCAGTATTCGCTGTTTTCCAGGTGGCTTTGCAGGCCTTCTTTCTTCACACACATCCAGCAGTGCTCGCAGCGAACGACATCTGCCTCGTCCGCTGAGTGCCGGCTGCGGTTCTTCCTCGCAGGCCGCGCTGCAGGCTCGCCCTCCGCCGCCTCCGCCTCCTTGTCTTCCTTGGGCTCCTTGGCCTTGCCGCTCTCGTTCTCGTCGGCCTGGGCCTCGTGTGCCTGCTTGGCCTCCTTGGCAGCGGGGGCTGCACGGGGCTTTTCTTTCTTGCTGGAGGACTCACTGTTGCCTCCGCTGGAAGAGCTGCTCTCCTTCTTCTTCTTGCGCTTCTTAGCAGCCTCCTCCTTTTTGCCACCCTTTTCTTCTTTCTTCTTCTCCTGGTCGTGGTCCACCACCACGATATCATCCTTCCGCGACTGGGAGTCCGGCTCCTTGTCCTCGTCCTTCTTAGCCGCCTCCTCCTCCTCAGACTCCTCGTCGTCATCCTCGCTGCTTAGGTCCCCCTGGCCAGGATTTTTTTTCGGCGCCGGCATTGCTGCAGCCCCCGAGGGGTTAGCAGCAACACCGCCACCTGTGGCTGCACCGTGGGCTGCACCCGTGCCAGCAGAAGTGGCCGCCGCCGCCGGCGGATGCGGCGGCAACAGCACAGGCGGCAGGTGTGGAAGCTGCGCCTCGCCCCACTGTTTGTAGACCACCGGCACCCACCTGCGAGCAATTTTTTTTAAGGTGTTGGGGGTTTTGCTTTGCTTTTGAGAGGCTAATCTGTTCCAACAGACACCTGCAACCTGGCTTGCTGCTACACCTATAGCGGGGACGCTAAACTGACTACTGTGCATCCTGTAGCTCCAGGGTAGCTTCGTGCAGCCCACAGACCAGGTAGCGTGCCGATCCATAGTGCAGCCTGGGAAATGGGTTAGCGTCGAAAACGCAGCCCGAAACCCAGGTGAGCACACGGTGGCCGCATCTGGCTCTGTGAGTTAGCAAGCTTCTTACTCTAGGGGCTTAAGGACTGCCTGGGTTTCAAAGCTTTGTAACTTTACAGGTTTCTCACCGCAAAGCTTTCGAGACTCGACCTTCTCCCTGCCGGCCTTCCGTAGTGGGAGAAATGCCAATGCATTGGCCCCTGCACAGCCCAAAGGAGCCGAAAGGGGCTGCGGGCAGTCACACATGCACGGGCAGTCACACATGCACACAGTGACCGAGGTACTCTTGCAGCAAACGGAAGCAGCACAGTCAGCCAACACGTGTCCTGCATCCAAACAATGCAACAAACAAAAAAAAAACCCTCAAACGTTCACTCTGACTGCCGTGTGTTGCATCAAGCGATCCGGAGCATCATGGCATCCACCTGCTCTTCACTTGGCTTGTCCGCAATGTGAGCTTCAGCTCTGCGGTGGTGAGCTGCTCGCATTTGCCAAGCAAGCAAAAAGGCAGCAGCCCGCCTGCGGCTGCCATGATGCCGTACAAACGTGTACAAGCGGCAGCCGCTGTGTGTCTCGCAAGCAACGAATGCTCGGAGCTGACCGCTGGAGTGTGTGAAATTGTCAAAATGCACTACCTGTGTCCTACCGCCTCCCAAGTCGATTTCTAGAGGAGCGACACGTCTACCACCGCTGGCCATGCTTGGCTGCGGCTCTTCTGCTTGCATGAGCTTTTCAGGCAGCTCTTGCACAAGCTCTTCTAACTCGGCATCATCAGCCTCTGGGTCAAGCTCCAGACCTGTAGCCGCATCTCTTGTCAAGCTGCGGCCAGCAGGTCTTTTTTTCTTCTGCGCGAACCGAGCATTGATTTCCTCTGCAGAAGCATCCCGCAAGCTGCTGAGATCGTCCTGATCCACCAAGAACTCATAATACTGCTGGGGGCCTTTCAAGTAAATGCCCGACAAGTTGCCGGGCTTTCCCATATAAGCCGACTCAGCATCAAAGCTCTGAGGAAGGGGAGGCTGCAAACTAGAACGTCATCTGGAAGACGTTTCTCTCCCTGCTTGCGATGCCACGCTTCCCGGCCCAGCCCTGGCTCCCAGCCCAAGACAAACAACAAACGAATTAACTCCAACTTTGATCGGCCTGGCATCTGGCCTCGAGTCAAAGGCGTTTGGTCAAGCTCCCAAAGCAACAATGGCCGTGCCAGCACCAAGCTTGCACTGTAGGTCAACTTGCCCGTCAAGGCGACGGATACATCTGAGAACATATCAGTCTCGCAGATGACAAGACCTCGGTCACGCAAGCCTTCCAGTGCAACAGCATCGAAGTGTTCAAGGTCTGTGGCATACACAGCAGATTCAATGCCGATGGCCCTTGCTCGCAGCAACTCTTTGATAGCTTGCATTTCTCGGTCGCTACACGGAGCACCGTAGACCTGCAGCACCGCAGAGTCGTCCGCATTCTGCACGACATGGGCAGGGGGGGGCAGGATGTCGAGGGCATCTTCCACATGCGGATCCGGAGGCGGTCGAATCAACAAGCAGGCAGGATCGCTGTCTAAGACAATCTCTGGAAGTTTCTGCACTTGCGGCTCCTGCAGCAAACCTGGCTGCGTGGACTCGTCTCCCAGAGCCAAGGCCAGTTCCGCAGGCATAGCACGCCAGAGCAAACAGTTTGCACAAAAGGCTTTCAAGTTCTCTGCTGTGCACACCCGTGCCAAGTCGAGAACCTCGATCCGCACATTCGTGCACGCCACCCGCACATCTCCCCCAAGGCCGTGCACGCCCTGGGAAACATCCACGTCGTGGAAACGCTGCACAACCACACAGCTGCGGCGGCCTAGCTTCGGGTCTGTGATGTGTGCAGCAGGTCGCGAAACACGAGCATCCGTTCTTGCTTCTGGCCTGGCATCCAGCACCGAGCAGAAAACCGAAGCACGATCACTTACCCGAGGGTGGACGTCGGCTCGCAGAATAGACAGCAGCACGTCGGTTCTGAAGGATGCGGCTGGGTCTTCACATCTCCGACCCCTGTCGACAAGTAGCTCAAAGACATGCGTGGACACACTGAAAAACACGCCCGTCGCCAAATGGCCTTTCAGCCAGTTCACTACCTGGTAGGAAGCACTCGGAAGCTTGAAGCTTCCGGCCAGTAACAAAGTCTGATCTCTCAAAGTTTGGCGGTAAACGGCATCAGCGCGAACAGAGTCCTCGCAATCTTTGAAGTGGTCTTCCTCGCTATACCCGTACAAGCGGGAAAGCCTCTTTGGCGTCTCCATAAGTCGAACCTCTTCGTGAGTGAGCATGTGCTCCAGCAGGCTACTCCAAAGGCGCCTGCTGCGCCAATTTTTGACCAAGAAAGCGAGCTGTTTCTCATCTTCCAGCATCTCCAACACTTGATCTCTGCGCTTGCGGCTGCAGACAACTGCAGGCCCAGCCTTTGTGAGACCACTGTTTGCTGCAACCTTGACACCGACATGCTCTCTCTCCGTGTGTCGCTCGGACAAAGAAACAAAGGCATATTCCTGTACTCTCCAAAACAACGCTGGCCATCGATCAAGGGGCACGTCATCCTCCGAGTTCAGAAACTCTCGGAGCATGTGGCCTGTGTCGGTTGGTCCAAACAAAGCATGTGTAACAGAGTCTAGAGCGCCGACTTGGCCACTGGAGATCATGTTGTCAACGTTCTGAAGATGTGGCCGAAGAACCTTTTTCACTCGGCCCCAAGTCTCGCCCATATACCCCGCAAACGCTGCGGCAAACACCCATGGTACTTGCTGAGCATACGCAAGCTTTTGCTGGATAACGGCAACAAATACTTTGTTGCACGTGTCCGCCATGTGCGCCATCCGACTTGCAGTTTCACTAGAACGAGACAAGAGATGCGCAAGAACACTAATCTCGTTGTTTGTCATGGCATCTTGCAAAGCTCCCTGGAGATTACCAACCGCAAGCCATGGCAAGCGCCTGCCTTTCCAACAACAGTTTATCTTTTCCCGGTTTTCTGGGTCTGTCAGCTGCTCCTGATGGCAGTGACAACCCTCGAAAAAGTGGGCCAGCCTGGTGGCCTCGGCAGAGAACTGATGCGTCCACACTGCCATGTCGAAATGGCACTCGTCTGCCAACGCTTCCGTCACAGCTCGAATTGTGACTGACGAGCTGTCCCCACCAAAAACAGCTGGGTTCCAATATTTCTTGAAGGTGGGATATAGAGGAACCCAAACCTTCAGCACTCTTGCGAGCGAATCCCACCTCCAGTCTAAGAGGTCATCCATCCGATGCAACAGCCGTCTCTCCTCGGGGCTCGCATGCTTCATCATTCTCACAAGAATTAAATTACTTCTGAGTAACTCTTTTCTTTGCACACACGGGTGATGCTGTTCAACTGTTTCTCGAATTTTTGCCAGGTTTCAAGCTGCTTCAAGCTGAATTCCAGTGCGTTAAACACTATGTGTAGTGTTCCCGGTATGTGTAGAGCGGAATGAAAGAGTGGCAATTCACGAAAATCCTCCTGTATTGCCTCGCTCGCCAAAGCTTGAGCGCCCACAATACTCTGGACCTCAGAGCAACTGCGGACTGGAAACGATGCTATGCCTCGCTCCGTTCCTTGATCGCTTAAGAAGCCCCGAACTTCCGAACGATACGTCTCAAAGAGAGACGCACCACTCTCAACGGCAATCATATGTACCATCTTGCTTGCCTTCGAAGCTGTGCTTCCTTGTCCTCTCGCAATTGTTGTACACAACATCGAACGCCTCTGGTGTTCAAACCCTTTGAAAGGAGCTACATTTCCACCCGCATCCCTTGGAAGCTCGTCGGAACGATAGAGCAGCAACTCTTCTGTCGCACAAAAATAATCATAATTCGCTTGCGGGGAACTGTCAGGACTGATGTACCTGACAATTCGCAGCGACTTGTCTGCCCCACCACCTGGTGGGGCAAGGAACCGGCGAGACAAGGAATGCAAGGCATCAAGCTTTAGCAAGATATTCCGCACATGCCCATGCGACACTTTCATGTTGTCTGCAGACCTAAACTATCTGGCACTAACATTCGAAGGACGGTGCGAACCACATCTTGAATGCCTACCGTTGAGCTGAGCTTGTAAGCGAGCTTTCCCAACAGGATTTCTTGCATGGCCGGCCTGCGCACTTTCTTCATCTCGCAGGAGGAAGAGGAACCACTGTCGGCACCATCACTGGGGCTTCCTTCTGCCGCAGCAGGAACGGTTCCGGGCAACTGGTGCCCCAAAGAAGTCGCAAGCCCACCAGGAACCACGAACTCCTTGCCTATCTCCATCAAATGCTTCATGACAGTTGGTGGCAAGCGAACCATCCAGAAAGGACGCCCTAGGTAACGCCTCGCAGTGCCTACTTCAGGCGCCGCCGCCTGTCCGTCTGCAAAGCAAGTGTAAAGGCCCTGGCGATCTGCAACGGCTTCGAAGATGACGCTTGGCGCAGCAGCTTGAAAAACCCATTGCGCTTGCCCTGCAGGCAAAACCGCCAACCTGCCAGCCAAGGCGGGCATCGCAGGAACAGGAGTCACCGCACCCTGGTTAGCAGCTGCAGGTGCCCGCACCAGGCACCTGCCACTGCAGCCTGGGCAGGCCCCAACTGGACAGCTGCCCTGAAACGAAAAAGAGACTTCAAACAGCACTTGAACATCTGGTTTCGGGTTGTCTGGTTCTGGAGGGACATCTGCTTAGCGGCGAAATCTCGATCGCGACGTTTCTGATGCCGAGCTCGCCAAGTATCTTGCTGCTGCAAGTGCTCTTGGGCACCCAGCGGCTTGATGCATTTTTCCCCAAGCTCAGCAACACACAACAAATAATTCCCTGCAGCAGCGGTGCCCAGAGATTCTGATTCGTCGCCACAGGTTTTCACATACAGAAACAAAACCTCTGCACGGGAAGCATTTCGACATTTGGCCCTATATCGACGATTCCGCAGGGCACCTGCAGACGTGGGAGCTTCCTCGGCCTCTGACTCGGACTCTCTGTCCTCAAGCTCACCGTCCCCAGGATCTGGAAGCCTAAAGATGGCAGGCTCTGCCATAGCACTATGACACTACACAACGAAAACCAATGTAACACCTCAAGCAAGCTAGGCTATGCCTACTGCCTACGCCCTCTTGCAAGATTGGATGATAAGTTGTCAAGCTGTCACTGTCACGTGAGTCATGAGCCTGAACTGTGCTGCGATTCGGATTCCCAATTCCCAATCGAGTTTCGGCCCGGCGGCTGAGAAATCGCGGAATTCGAGTTCATAAAACAGCCGACAAAGTCAGGAAGATATGCTTGCTTGCGGTTTGCAGTTTGGGTTGGCTACATCACAAGTTGTAGGTTTGTAGCTTTCACGACGATTTTGTTCCAAAACGTGCTGCGTTTTCTTGGGAAGGGACGGTACTTGTTTGGAGAGGCTGTTGTTCTTGTGCTGACTGATTGATGGAAAAATAATCAAACCCTACTACAACAAATCATTTTCAAGTCCAGGGCTTGGAACCCATGCTCCAAATGCCCTGAACCCCCTTGCGCGTCCCGGCCCCCGGGCCTAGATGAATCACTTATACGCGGGGCCTCCGACCACATGTGGCGGATGATCGCCCGGACGACTGGCTGCTCCGCCGGCGTCACTTTGTATGTCTTCCCGGCGATCTCGTCGCCGTCGCGGAACGGCTGGAAGACCCTCGCGTCCACGTCGGACCACTCGTCGGCGACGAGGGCGAGGGTCGCCGTGCGGTTGAGAGACCGCGCCTTCAGGTAATCGACGAGGTCCGGACCCGCCCCCGCCGACGTGGCGAGGTCGTCGAAGTCGGTCAGGACGTCGGCGACGAGCTGCGGACCCATAGCCATGATCACGACGAGGGGGCCGGCGGGGATGACGGGCGGTGCGGTCAAAGGCGGGCTGCGGCACGAGAACAAGATGCACTATGCGCAGCGACGGGCTCACCAAGTGCACGGCCCCGCTCCCTTTTATCAGGACGACGAAGAATCGTCGGAATCTGAGCTA